TAATACATTTGGTTGATTTTAACAACGTTTTTACTTATTCGAAATGCGTTGACAGTCTTCGTTCAAAGACTCAACTTCTTGCAGTCACTGAACGTATGTCAGTGATATATTTTTAGAATGATTCAAACGTTGTCGTGAACAAGAGAAGGAGAAGGTAAAAAAAAGACTATAAGAAGTGACTATCTGTTATTTCATCAATTTCTCACTTATTTTGCAATATCATAGAAATGCGCATACAGGCAAGACTGAAATTTTCAGCTATTCAGCACTCACTTACCTAATATAGTTCAGACGATATATCTTGCTTGGTAGCAGTAAATTTTCAGCACTTTTGTTGTCACAAAAAAAAAAATTTTATTTTTGTTTTTTTTAATTAACAATTTATTTTAACTAAAAATCTCCTGTTTTTAACTAACATTTATTTTACTGGGTTTGTTTCGCTTGGATAGTTTCATTTCTCTTTTTGAACCACACTTCAGCAGTGGAGAGTACAACAAAACATTACTTAATACTATATATCCCTTTTTCAATTATAATAAGAACCAAAATGCACTCTTAACACAAACGCACAAATAAACTTTTTTTTTCTTAATTTACAAAAAAAACTCATTCAGAAAGCAAGAATTTTAAGAGTAAAAAAATTTATTCACACAAACTCATACAAACGCACTCTCTCATAAATGAACGTAGGCAAATATTCGTTGAGATAGATATATTCAAACGAGACACTGCAATACCGACTTTACACGCTTACCTCTATTTTCCAATAAATACGTCTATGTTTGTTGGTTGTTGCTTTTATTTTTTCAAAGGGAAGATAAGAGAAGAGGAGTATTCTTCTCTTCATTTTTTTTTTACTTGTTCTCTTTATCCAACAAACTAAATTGCATTTACCTGTCATCTGATTTCCGCCCATTAACCTACACACATATACCTCAACAACAGTTCAATCTTTTCTAAAGCTTACTGAAAAGCGTTTCCGATAAGCGTTTATTGGGTTTTAACTGCAGAAGTAATTCGGATCCTCGCTATTTGTAAGCGTTAATTAAGTGAAATTTACGCTGTTTACACCTGTACTATTGCTGTACTCAAATTGATTCACTTCGGAATAGAACGAAGTTTTTTTAGTATTACTTTCACTGTTATACATCGATTACTTGGTTGTTTTGTGAGAATGTTGATGTCACTGCTACTCAACAGTTAGCAATTATACGACTTTTCAAACTTTGCAGTCAGAAGATTTATAAATTTTTTTTTTCAATTTGACATTATTTTTTTAATAATTATTTTTTTATGCTTTTTTTTCTACTATTTTATAGTTTCTTCTGTCTTTATTTCGTACTTTCTTCCTGCAGTTTTTCTCGTCAAACAAACCCAAACGCATCAAACATCCTGACAGCTCTTTCACACTGAAAAATGTTTTATCTTTACTTTATCTTCCTACTTCTGCATTCACGGATATATCAAGGAAAATATTCTGACAAATAACTTTTGTAGGAAAAAAAACAATAAAATACCTTTCTCGTGCTGCAAAAAAAAAAAAAAATTAGTGATTTCTTTTTATAGACTTCACTCAGTTTACTACCAAACAGCTACAAAAGTTAATGTTATTATAAAAATTTCGTTAACAAACACCTAAAAATCGTGCGATTACATTTGGGCAATTATCATCCGTTAGGTTGAAAAAATAGGAATGATCATTGGTGAATAAGGAAGAAATGAGTTAAGATGAAAAATGTGAGAAAGCAAAATAGACAGTGTCATAAAATTTCTATTCAGCTGCTATAAGAAGCCTGTTTGGTTTTTTTAATAAAACATTTACAAATTATTTTTTTTCTCAGTTAAAGATTAAAGCAGTGTATACTTTATTTTTTCTTCTTCAGTTAACATTTTGCTCACAAAAATACTATAGAGTTGCAAAATTTTAAGTGAAAAGTTGTTTATGCGTTAAAATTCTATTCAACAACTGTGTTTCCAAATTTATCCATGAATTTTCGATTATCTGCTGCTTATACGGTTCACAGCTATAACATTGGTAGTAACAGGTAGAACAGCTTATTTTCTCGTCTTATCGGATAATTTTTGCAGAAAATAAAAAAAAA